GGAGAATTGAGACTGTTGATGTCGAGAGATATCAATGGTCATTGATTATTGATTCCTGTAATTTTGTTGTTGTTGTTGATGATGATGGTAGTGGTGGTAGTGTGTGTTTGTGTGTCTTTGTGTGTGTGTGCATGAGAGAGAGAGAGAGAGAGAGAGAGAGAGAGAGAGAGAGAGAGAGAGAGAGAGAGAGAGAACTTCCCTTCTTTTGACTTTGCTGGCCTGGGATTATTCATTCCCTGTGTTTTCTTGGGTATAGTTAACCTCGTTAGGTTGGAGTTTACCTTTTTAGCACTTTTTGTAGGGCTGGATTTGTAGATAGATAATGCTTAACTTGATTATCTACTGGGATATCATATTTTCTCCATCTATGGTGATGCAAATTTGACTGGGTATAGTAGTCTAGGCTGGCATCTGTAGTTTCATAGTCTGTAGCACATCTGCCCAGGCCCTTCTGGCTTTTGAAGTCTCCACTGAGAAGTCAGGTTTAATTCTAATAGGTCTGACTTAATATGGTACTTGGTCTTTTTCCCTTGCAGGTTTTAATATTCCTTCTCCAATCTCTACATTTCTTGTTTTTATTATTATGACAGTGGCTACTTCTTCTTCCTCCTCCTCCTATTCCTTCTCTCCCTCCTCCTCCCCCTCCTCCTCCTTCATCTTTGTTTTTTGAGACAGGGTTTCTCTGTGTACTTTTAGAGCCTGTCCTGGAACTAGCTCTTATAGATCAAGCTGGTCTTGAACTCACAGAGGTCTGCCTGCCTCTGCCTCCCAAGTGCTGGGATTAAAGGTGTGTGCCACCATCACCCAGCCAGGCATCTTCTTCTTTAGGTTAGGGAAATTTTCATCTATAATTTTGTTGAAAATATTATCTGTGCCTTAGATTTGAGTTTCCTTCCTCTATTCCTATTATCCTTAGATTTTGTCTTTTCATAGTGTTCCAGATTCCTGGATGTTTTATTCCAGAAGTTTTAGATTTAACATTTCATTTGACAGATATATCAATTTCGTCTATTGTGTTTTCAATGCCTGCTCTCTTCTATCGCTTGTATTCTGTGGGTGAATCTTGGCTCTGTGGTTCCTGTTCAAAGTCTCTAAATTTTTCTGCCACAGACCACCCCAGCCAGGTAGGGGGTCCCTGGGATGAGGGTTCTCAAAGGCTAGGTGGGTAAGGATTTGGCAGTGACAAACAGAAACAAACACAGAGGCAGTTTAAATATGAGTGTATTTTGCAGCTTTCAAGCAAGGCTTTTGATCCAGGATAAAGCATAGCTCTCAGAGATTGTGTTCACTAAAGCAAACCCCACATAGAACAAAAATGATATCATCGTTATTAGGCACAGTAACACACAACTTATCCAAGGCTAATAATAAATCAGAAAATCATTCAAGGCTAACCACAGCTAACCACTTATTTTCTCAGATCAGGTTAATACATTTTTATTGCCAGTTATTGTTTAACATTTGTTGCCCAGCTCTTGTGAATCTTTGAAATATTGAGCTATTTTGACTTTTTCTTATCAAAAGTCTTTCTTTACCAAATGTTTAAACCTACTCTCAATTACACATATACAGCCATATGAAGTTTTATTGTTGGGAAAGTTTTCATCAATATTATTTGTACTTATGTGAATGATGTGAATGATTTGGAAAGCGCTGGTTTTCCTGGAGACGAGGTCATGGTCAGTGACCACATCTCAGGGGATGGTTTCTCGTTTGTATCTTTTGTTTAAAATGTCAACATAGGCTTTTAAGAACATTTTGTTAGTATGATAAAAGAATAGAAGAGCCATGAGAACTACGGCTCAATACTTTTCTCTGGCGGAGAGTTCCACAGCCGGTTCTTTTAAAGTTATCGCCTCAGTCTGTGGAACTTGTCACACAGAATCTGCTGGATTTGGTGTGGCATTTTTCATTTCCAGATTTCCTTTAGTTTGGGTTTTCTTTATTGATTCTATTTTCACTTTTGGGTCTTGAATGATTTATTCACTTCCTTCTACTGTTTATTTGTGGCTTTATACATTTTCTTTAAGGGATTTATTCATTTTCACTTTAAGGACCTATATCATATTCATAAAAGTTGCTTAAGGTTTTTACTTGTGCTTCAGGTATGTTAGAATACTCAGGGCCTGGAATTTCTGGATGTTTGTGTGTGTGTGTGTGTGTGTGTGTGTGTGTGTGTGTGTGTGTGTGTGTGTCTGTGTATGGTTTTTACATTTGTACATGTGGAGAACAGAAGAGGATATCAGGTGTCTTTCTCAATCACAGTTTCTCCTATTCCCTTGAGATAAAGTCTCTCACTGAACCTAGAGCACACCAATTTTGTTTGTAACTCCAGTACTCTGGAAACTGAGGGAAGAGATGGCGAGGGCTGCATAGGAAGATCCTGTCTCAAATATTTTAAAGTAGATTTAACATTTTTTATTTATTTATGAGCATTGATGTTTTGCCTGCATGTATATCTGCGTAAAGATGCCAGCTCCTCTGGAACCAGAATTACAGACACTTGAGAGCTGCCATGTGGGTTCTAGAAATTAAACCCAGGTCCTCTAGAAGAGCAGCCAGTGAGTGCTCTTAACCACTGATCCATCTCTCCAGCCCCCCAAATTAAAATAAATAATGAAAAATGGTATTTCAGAGTTATTATCATGTGCAAGGCCCTGGATTCAATTCCTGAAATAAAACAAAAACTGAAACCAAAACAAAAAAGAAAGAGAATGTGTATTCTGTAACTATTGAGTAGAATGTTATATAAATGCCATTAGAGCTGAGTAGTAGCAGCACATGCCCTTAATCTCAACCCTCAGGAGGCAGAGGCAGATAGATTTCAGAGTTTGAGGCTAGTGTGGTCTACAGAGTGAGTTCCAGGACAGCCAGAACTATACAGAAAAACCCTGTCTTAATAAAACAAAACAAAAAACATCATTGGATCCAGTTGTCTCTGTTCTTCTGAATTTCCTTCCTGTTCATCTTCAATTACTGACTAAGACATGATGAAATCTTCAACTGTAATTGTTGCTTTGTTTTTCTTTTTAGATCTGTTAGGTTTTATATCTAAGATTGTTATTTCCCCTCAAAGAATATTACCCGTTTTCATGATGCATGAGGCAGAATGATGGCTTTCCAAAGATGTGCATGCCCTAATTCCTGGAATCTAGTAATATGTTACCCAGCATGATAAAAGGCCTCTGCATCTGTAACTGAGGTTATGGGCCTTTAAGGGAGGAGATTATACTGATTTTCTAGAAGACACTCATCTGATCAGAAAGAAGGCTTTCTTGGTTGTGGCCAGAAAAATTTTACCAATGGAGAAGAGATGAGATGTTTTTAAATGTGACAGGGACTCAATCATCTACCACAAGCTTTGAAGATAGAAGAGAGAGAGACCCTGAATCTTCAAGTTCATATATTCTTTTTCAGTATTCCAGTCTACTAATAAGCCTATAAGACACATGTTTAATCTTCAAAATAATCCTAAGGCTGGTTGTGGGAGCACAGATCTATAATCCCAGCAGTGAGGCTAGGCTAAACCATATAGCAAGATCTTGGCTCAAAAAAAAAAAAAAAATCCTAAGAAACACATTGATTACTACATCACTTTCTTGTTTTATGGTTTGGGCAACTAAAACTAAGAATATTGAGCAAGAGTAGTATTTATTGTTAACCGGATAAGATCTACAATTACCTAAGAGATAAACTTCCTGGCATGTCTATGAAGAATCATCTAGATTAGGTTAGCCTATGGGCATGCCTGTAAGGGATTGTTTAGAGTAGGTTAATTGAGTTGGAAATAACTACATTAACTGTGGGCAGCAACATTCCCTGGGCTAGGGGGTCCTGGACTGAGTAAAAAGGAGAAAGCTAGCTGAGCACTGGCATTCCTTGCTCTCTGCTTCCTGACTACAGACACAGTGTGACCAGCTGCCTCAAGCTCCTGTTGCCACGACTTCCCCACAATGATGGACTATACCCTCAAACTGTGAGCCAAAATACACCTTTCTTCCTTTGCATTGCTTATTGCTAGATATTTTGTCTAACAATGAGAAAAGTAACACAGAAAATTGGTACTGAGAAGTGGGTTTCTTTGCTGTGATCATGTGGTCCTCAGGCATTTGGAACTGATTTTGCAGAATTTTAGAGAATTTTGGTCCAGCCTAGAAAAGCCTTTGAATGCTGTAAACAGAGCTTAATAGGTGATTCTGGTAGAAGCTTGGAAGACAAGAATGCAAAGAGAAACACAGATAGTGGAGGTCCAAATCATGAGGGTTCCAGGAGAAACAAGGACTTTACCCAGAACTTGGCTAGAGGTCATTGATGTGGGATGCTGACCAAGAACTGGCTGCATTATGCCAGCACCCTAAAACCTTGAGTAAGGTTGAATTAAAGATAATGAACAGCAAGAAAACACACTGAGTGAGGATGTAAACTGTAGTCTAAGATGTGTATGAATAAAGCAAGTCAGAACAAGACATAAATTTATAGATGGACAATAATGGGCCACCAGAACTTCTTGCTGTCAAACTCCCTTAGTTCAGAAATATTTAAGAAAAGTTTCATGAAGGAGGAAGCATTTGAACAGGCAGACAGAAGGTTTTTTAGCAGGTTGATATGGTAAACAAATAGAGCATTACAGCTAGGATTAAATCCAACGAACCCTGAAACCAAAGCATATGTTCTTTCCATTACACAAAACAGTAAGACAATATGACAGAAAGGGGGTGGGTACTGTGAGATACAGAATAGAAGCCTAAAAAGGAAAGTTAAGAACATGGAGAACCTTTGGTCCATGTATAAGAAATCTAGAATATCAAAGAAATCATTCCAAACCCTAGAATCACCAATGGAGATGACACTGTATTTCCCTTGTATCTTAGAGTTCATATGTCAGAGGGCATAGTGGGTTGAGTGCTAATAGAGGAATATGGAGGCAGAACCACAGAACAGGAACCCTGGGGGTACTTTTGATGAGAGTCAATTGTTTTCTTTGATACATTTATTTTTAGCATAAGCCATTTTTTGGCATGAAATCTTTATCAGAGGCTGATAAAAGAAGAGCAAGCAACCAAACAATTCCATCACTGACTGATTTATTGGAACTTGCAAAAAACAAAAGAAAGTTTGTGATATTTGATCTTTTCGGCCCTCCACCAAAGCATCCTCTCAGAAACACATTTGTTCGAAAAGTAGTAAAGGTCATCCTTGACTCCCAAATTGAGCAACATCTGGTATGTTTTTCTTAGTATTTATGGCAGAGGTTGGGAAGTGGGCAGCCTGTCCAGGAGCATAGCAGTTGAATTCAACCTATCATGTAATTCTTCTCTGAGATCTGTAAGTGGTTTTGCTTCCTTTGGGAATGGAGATTATTGTCTATACAGCTACAGGTGGCAATCTGAGAAAGATTCATTTAAAATATCCCTGTGGGGGGAAACATTGAGATTATTTGCAATTCTAAACCAAATATAGTATCAGCCCATTGTTAAAGAGTGATGTGGGGTTGAGAAGATGGCTCAGTGCATGACACACTGGGCACATGAGCATGAAGGTGGGACTTTGGATCTTCAGAACCCAGGTAAAAGCTGTACAACTATGGCACCCACCAATAATGCCAGCATTCGGGAGGCAGAAAACAGGGTAGGGCAAACTTGCTAGCTAGACTAGCTGGAATTGGCAAACTCCAGGTTCAGTGAGATACCCTGTCTCAAGAAATAAAGTGGAAAACAATGGAAGAAGATACCTAGTGTCAACTTTTGGCCTTTATGCATATGCATACATGTGCACATGTGTACATTCACATACTTTTGAACATTCATACATTCATACATGCATGCTACACACACACACACACACACACACATGCACAAAGGCACACACACATACGCAGAAAGAAAAGAATAATGTTTATAAGCCAGGCCTGGCCATACATCATTGTAGTTCTAACTACTCTGGATGCTGGGGCAGGAAAGTTAAAGCTTACATGGATTATACAATAAGTTTAAAGCCAACTTACACAACTTAGCAAGACCTTGTTTCAAAATTAAAAATATGAAAAGAGGGCTGGGAATATAGCTTACCAGAGAATCCTTGCCTAGCATGGATTGAACTATGTGTTCATTCCATAGTACCACACCAAAAATAATAGTGTATACAATAACTCTGATGTCACCTGCCCCATGGTCAACATAGACCTATAAGGCTTCATGACAATATAGCTTTGAGGACTTTAGCTTTAAAGAATGATCTAGAAATACCAGCAGTTCTTAGTGAAAAGTTTCTGCACCCTGATAAGGCTCTCCACCATTGCAGCAATCCAAATTGGACCAAATCAAACCCAATTAGAGAAACCTCATGTTTAATTAATACAGTGCTCCTGGATGGCTTTCCACCCCTCCCCCAGAGAGGAGGTGGGAAAGGGAGACTGGAAAGAGAGACTGGAAAACCACATTTCTATTTTCTGGGGTCAGGGGGCCAGTTTAAATACCTTGTGGGAGTGGTCTTGAGCATCTCTGGGGGAAGATGTCATCATTTGGCAGGCTGGATTGCTGGATTGAGTAGAACTTCCACCAGAACATTCCAGACTCTTTGGGTGTATGGATGCCAGGGGCTGGGGTGAAGCTTCCACCATGACACTTAGTTTAGTAAAGATTTGTTCCTCTTTGGTTTTGGCTTTTTATTTTAGAATCACTCTCTTTATTTGCAAAGTTATTTTTTAAATCACATAATTTCTCAAAATACAGCAATGCTATGAGTAAAACAAATATGTATCTCTTTGCAAATGTTGCTTTTTCCACAGATGGGTCACGAAAGCATCTGTTACCAGGAAACACCTAAGTGGCTCCCCTCAAGGATGGCTTTTGGCATCAGCAACTAGGGAGGGTTCTTTAATGGCCATATCTACCAATATTTTTTTTTCTCTGCAAAGCATCTAATCCATGGTCTTGCACATAGTAGGGAGGTGCTCTACTATTGAGCTACATTTCTAGCCCTCCATTTTTTGTATGAATCTTTTTATATGCTTGGGGCTTTGTTGACCCTTACTGTTAACTGGAGGATGGAAAGGTCCTGGGAAAACTCAATTCCACAGCAGCCCTCCCCATTTTTAAGAATTCATTAGACAATATAAGTAATTTGACTGTTTTACAAAGGGCTAGAATCTTTCTCTGCTTCCTGTAGACTCCTGCCAGTGCTGGAATGGGGCTTCATCCATTTTCCCTGGGCTGTTTATTCCAGAACAGTGACTATCCACTGAAGGACTATTTGTTTCTCCTCGCAGATACTTTGGTTGCCGGGTTTTGATAGAGACTATGTCAGGTACAAGGCTCCTGGTTTTCAGCACGTGGGTCGTTTATTATCCCTTGAAGAGCTTGCAAAACAGAATATTACTATAATAAATGTTGACTATAAGAGGTTGTTCTACCGTGGTTTGAGGTAAGTGTTTGACCACCCCTCCTGGCATGCACTATTGCTATAACATTTACAAAATACTGGTTCTACCCAAGTTACTTAACTTCTTTTTGTCTTAAGATTCCTTTATTTGGTTATCAACTTTGAATCCTCTGCTTTCTCATTGCTTTTTCTCCCTCCCCTCTTTTGCCAACAAACACTGACCATGTGTAGATCATGCTCCTTCTTTGTACTCTAATTCCTCACCACTTAACACATATTTTAAATATTCATTTTACTTTATACGTGTGTTTCCCTGTGTGTATATATGTGTATCACTTATGTTCAGTAACCACAGAGGCCAGAAGAGGGCATAAGATCCCCTAGAACTGGGTTATAGGTGTTGTTGGCTTCCAAGTAGGTGAAGGGCCTGTGGAAGAGCAGGTGGTATTCTTATCAGCTGAACCATTTTACTCTGCACATTTGTAAGGTTGACTAAGATTCCATATTTAAGTAGGTCATACAATATTTGTCTTTCTCCCCCTGGCTTATTTCATGTAATATACTGTTTTTCTGGTTCATCTATATTGGGGCAGACAACAGAATTTCTTTGTTCAAAAGTTGAGTAGTATCTATTGCATATAAGCACCTTATTTTCTTAATCCATCCATCTATTGGTATTTTTTCCTTATCGTGGCCATTGTGAATAATGCTGCAGTGAAGATGGGAATAAAAACATGTTATCATAAGTGTTCTTTGATACTGTCCTTCCATTCTTTCCTCCCTAGCCTAAAATCTTAACCCATGACACAATTTCTAAAATGTTATTTCAAGAATGAACAAACTCATAGTTTATGCAACCTTTGGGTATTCTCTCTCTCTCTCTCTCTCTCTCTCTCTCTCTCTCTCTCTCTCTCTCTCTCTTTCTATTTCGGTTTTTGGAGACAGGGTTTCTCAGTGTTGCTTTGGAGTCTGTCCTGGAACTCACTCTGTAGACCAGGCTGCCCTCAGACTCACAGAGATCTGTCTGCCCCTGTCTCCCAAGTGCTGGGATTAAAGGTGTGCGCCACTAATGCCTGGCTAAAGTGACTGTTGGAGAATATGTAGGCATCACTCCCACTACCTCTTGCATGCTAAGTGAGCACTCTACCATTTGAGCTAATTCCCCTACTGGTTTATTTTTTTATTCATCATAGTTCTTTTAAATTGATTCAACGTTCATTTTTCCACAATTTATTCCTTTTTGTTACTGAATAGTGTTCAATGCTGTGTATACCAAAGTTTGTTTAATCAGTTACTAGCAGAAGGACATCTGATTATTTCCATATTTGCATATGGAATTTTATGCAAACATAAGTCTTTATTTCTCAGGAATAAATTCCCAAGATTTCAAATTCTGGGGTATAGTAATTGAACGTTGCATAAAAAGCAGCCAGACTTTTCCAGGAAGACTGAATCATTTTACATTTTTGTAAATGCATGACCCAGAGTTTCTACATACTTGATAAATTTGGGTGTTTGCACTTTTTAATCTTACCTACTCTGTTGGGCATACAGTCACATCAATTTGTTTAAAGGTATATTCTTCAAAGGCTAATGATGTGCTTATTTGCTCATGGGTCTCTTCACTTAAATTCTTTTTCTTTATAATTGAATCTTAAGGATTATTTTTACCCTTTGTCAGATAGGGTTTGAAAACATTTTCCTGGGAGTGGAGAGATGGCTCAGTGGATAAGAGTATGTATGTACTGGTCTTCCAGAAGGTCCAAGCTCCTGGCACCTATACTCCAGGGGACCTGACACTCTCTAAGATTCCATGAGCCCCTGCATACACATGAGCCCCTGATACAAATATCAGGCACACGCATACACAAATAAATAGATAAAAATAAATCTTTATAAAGGGGAGCATGTTCTCTTAGACTGTGACTTACTTGTGGCTTCTTAACAGGACACAAGGTCTCCACAAAGAAACAAAGTGGTGTTTCTATTTTGACAAGGCTGGCTTATGAGTTCTCCCTTTCAGAAAGTGAGCATTCAACTCTGATCCCATTCCTTGCTCAGCTCCATACATGACAGAGTTGTTTTCTTCTATGTTTTCTATAAGGTTTATATTCTTACATTATATGTATGTATGTACATACATACATACATACATACATTCAAGCCTGCAAATCATCTTGAGTTGGTTTGGTTGATAATTTAATGTTATTTTGGGAGAGTAACTCTAGCCTTCCAGATCATTAGTGACATTTGTTGAAAATCCACTCTTCCACTCATTTGCTTTGGCAGCTTTGGCCAGGTTATTTGAGAAAATGTGTATAGGTCTGTTTCTAGAGTTTCTACTTATGTGTCTGTTCTTGCTCTGGTTCCATGCTATCTTGATTACATAGTATGACTATGTATACATATATGTAGCTTCATGTAATCTTTTTCCAGATTGAGGTATGTTTTCTGTAGCATATTGGAGACTGAGGATTGTCAGGGCCAGCCTGGGCTACATAGCCAGCTTGAGACATCCTTCACTATAGAGTGAGACTGTCACTTCCCTCCCAAAGATGTAATTTTCCTAGAGCTGTGCCTTTGCATATGTGTTTTGGATCAGCTGACCTAATTGTGCAAACAAACCTTTGCTGGCCTTCTCTAGGACTTGCAATGACATTGCAGATCAGCTTGGGGACAGCTGGCAGCTCTGCTCCAGAGAACCTTCAGTCTGAGAATGAGTATCACTCTGTTGTGTTGTCTTCTTCACTTAACTTCCATCAGGGTTTCATCATTTTCAGGGTTATATCCTTAATGCTTCCTTACATTTATCCCTAAGTATTTCTTTTAAGTAATTGTTAAGGGTATTATGTTTTAAATTGTAGTTTCTACATCCCTTATTCATATTTAGAAACATTGAATTTGAGTCATAGTTTCAAATAGTACAAAGAAATAACATCTTACTACTTTTCCTTCTAAGTTGGTTCTTAAATTAGGTGACCTGCAGTTCCTTAGAGGCAGTTCTTAGCTGGGTGCAGGAAACTGGCCACACTTCCCGTTGAAAGGCAAAGTTAATATCTTAAGTCTCTGCTCTGAAGCACAGAACTTGCCAAGCTAGCACGGCAGACTTGTACTCTCCAGTGTGACAACTGGATCAGAGTTTAAAGGACTTGGGGACACATTTACACTTGATCTTAGTCCACTGGCCAAGCAGCAGCAGCAGCAGCAGCAACAGCAGCAGGGGAAGGTGCTTGGTGTGTTCTCTGAGAACTTCAACTCTGAGATGACAACCAGCCTTACTTTGCTAGCTTTTATTTCACTCACTCCCTTTCTCCATAAGTCAGGCAGAAGGTCCACTGACATGTAGTATCTTATGAAAAGCTGGGCTTGACTTCTCCCACAAAATTATTGTAAAGGGGGAAAAAAAGCTCTTTATAGTTAATGTTAAAACTCACTCCCTTTCTCCATAAGTCAGGCAGAAGGTCCACTGACATGTAGTATCTTATGAAAAGCTGGGCTTGACTTCTCCCACAAAATTATTGTAAAGGGGGAAAAAAGCTCTTTATAGTTAATGTTAAAACATTCACCACACCAATTAATATTTATACTTATGCAGCTAAGTGTTGAGCTAGGTCTGGATACACAGAGAAGGATGGGGTTATAGTAGTTTCTATTGTAACTCACCTGCTGTCAAACCAAGAAATTGGTAGGTGAGCAGGGTGGGGTGTGATACCGGAGGTAACAGCCATTTGGGAGCTGTCAAAATCTTTTTTCTCAGCTGTAGCTTGGAATTGGCTGTAGTGGGAATATTTGCAAATGTATAAATGCTGTGAAGGATTTCCTGTCTGCTATTGTTCCCCCAATTCTTCCTCCTTTTCTCTTTCCATTTTCTTTGTTTTGCTCCATCCCACCCCTACCTCCCTTAGGACATTTTGTTTACCAGCACTGCACTATAGCTGATGTTACAGGAGCAGAAGGACTAGGCCAGCCCACACCTGAGCCCATTCTATCACAATGAATCCTACACTGTCCTTGAGCTACATGTTTGTTCAGTGATTTAGGCAGTAGCGTTTCACAAATGTGGTTGTTCCCCTTTACTTATTGAGAGTACAATTGAGCTGAAACCCTCTGTGGGCTTTTTTTGTTCCAGACATTATAAGGCAGCCAAAATCCACATCAATGTGTACGTTGTCAATGAGCCTTGGCTCTTCTCATTGGCCTGGTGTTATAAGATCAACTCTGTGACCACAGACAACATCCAGACCCTGAATCAGCTTAATCGCCCTCTCTTCTTCATGGTGAGCTGCCTGTCCAGATCACTCTAAGCTTGGTGTGATTGTGCTGTGTTCCTCCACCGGGGTAGCCCAATGTGCAGTTCCCTGTTAAGCTACTTCAGAATAGAGACATCAGTAAGTAATGGAGATGTGCCTATTCCCTTCTTCATCCATCTCTTCTGGGTTCTTTATTTATTGAATCTTCACAATGCACTTTACATACTGCATGCAATTTAAGCTCCTGAATTTGACACTGTTATTATTATACCCATGAGAAAACAGAAGCTCACAAGTCCATATTCTCATGATATAAGATTCACAGTGAGGTCTGACTCTAGAGTTTGTTATTGCAGGCTTGAGCATGTGTAAGAACATTACTCTCTCTGTCTCTCTCTTCCCCCCTCTCTGCCTGTCTCTCTCTGTCTCTGTCTCTCTGTCTCTGTCTCTCTGTCTCTGTCTCTCTCTCTCTCTCACACACACACACACACACACTAGAAGTATGGCAGCAATAACAGTCACAGGGAATATTATGGGAAGTAAGCTGGATCCCTTTGAAAACTGTTTCTTGAATCCAATGTTAAGTAGGTGAGCCAGCATCCAGCCACCATTCCCTGGCACCCTGGTGGGGCTTGGTGACCCGAAGACCTGGTTTGCAGCCACAACTGAATCAAGTCACTTAGTGCCTGTGGCGGGAGCTGTGGCTAGCCAGTTACTGCGACAGAGCCTGGGTTTCTTGTCTGCACAGAGTCATTTGAGTGGGACACAGTAGTATTCAACAGAAAACAGGTTTTGTAAGGGAGTTTTGATGTGCCACTCTGCTGTCTTCAAATTCTTGCCCTCAAGCCATTCTCCTGCCTCAGTTTCCCAACTATCGGGGACTATAACCCATTCTCCCATTCCCCACAAGAAAGCAGTCTGGGATCTGGAGAGGTGGTTTAGCATTAAGAGTGCTCTCCTAAAGGACTAAGTTTAGTTCCCAGCACCAATATCGGGCAGCTGCCCAGAAGTGTAGCTCCAGTGGATTAAATGCAGATGCCTGTTTGTATACAGGTGGATTCTGCAGATGCTGGTGTGTACACAGGTGGCACAAATAAAATAAATATTTTTTAAAGAAAAATTTAATTTTGCTCCCTTGAAAGTTAAGCATTAGACAGAAACTCTTAAGGAAGACTAAAAAGTACCAGCTTTTGGAGCACCAATTAACACTGGAGGGGAACAATGAGGAGACGGGGGGGGGGGGGGGGGGGACATCCAGGGATTAGGAAATTCATATGAATCAGTACAGGAGACAGAGCTCCCAGGGAACTGGGCCAAAGAGCTGGTCTTAGCAGAGCCTTGAGGGGTAGGTGTGTGAGTCAAAGGGAAGTACCTATAATTCAGCATTTATGTGAAGAGTGCTGCATCTGAATAGTGGTGCCCAGGTGCTGGTTCATGGACCTTATCACCCTGATCAGTGTGGTGCTGGACCTGCTGGCTTTGATCCCCTAGGTATGTAGGTAGAACTGAAAAGCTGTATTGGGGAAGGCTTCCTAAACAACATGGATGTGAGCTAGATTGCGGAGACCATGTTATAGAAACAGAGCACAGGAAGTCAGATCACATGAGCTGGAGTCCTGGGTTCAGGACAGACTTGGTGTGTCTTCTCCGTGATTTTTATAGAAGTGTGCCTTGAGAGGCAAAGAAGATGAAGAGCATGGCACATTTTAGTCCTTGTGGATCCCCTGCATGTGTGCATGTGGCCGTTAGAATAGTTGGAGATAGCCTCATCTGTCCCCCACCTCCCCTAGGCCCTTATCCCAAGCAGATGAGCAAAGGACTTAAAAACCTTCCAACCATAGAGCCCTTCAGCTTCATCTTGTTCATGCTTTGCAGACACCAGGATACTATACATTCATGTGGCTTTTCCTGGACATCACTTCTGCAGTTATCATTGGCTTTGTATTTTATTATCACTGGTAAGTATATATTTATAATTCCCAATGAAAATTCCTCTCAAGAAAAATAATAAATGGGTGCTTACAGAAAATTGATTGGCAGCTGGTTGCCTTTTAAAGAGGAGGAAGCACAGGCGCTCGCTCGGGTGGGAGTCCGGCTGGGTAATGAGTCTTCTGACCACAGCCACGATGTTTAAAAGAGGCCTGTGAGCTGATACATGGTTTGCTTCCTTCCAGGATGAAAGAGCTTAGAAAAGCAAGGTGGCTTGAAACTGATGCTGATACCACTGTATCTACAGGTAAAGTCAAAAGGCTTGCTTGTTCCTTCTTTTTTGACCCCATGGCCTCAAGAAGACAGGTCCTCCTCTTCATGTCCCTGTCTAGAGCTGAGGGATAGGCACCAGCGAGGAGCAGGGAAATTTAGTAAGTCCCCTTGTTCTTGAGTTCCCATCTGCAAACCCAACCAAACAGCAATGAAACAAAAGTTAAGTTGTTGCTGATATGAATTATATAGTTAGTCCTGTAGGTGTTCTGGTTATTGAATACACAGCTTGTTCTTGCCATCAGTCCTCATCACTGTAGAATGGGGGTGCTTTCCAAAAAGAGCTTGCTTACCTTTTTTATTTTATCATTGGGCAAACATCATAGAGTGCATTTGGTGTGTGTGTGGGGGGGAGGGTATTAGAGTATTGTTCCTAGGACCATGATGAATGAAACGGTATGATATTAAATAGATCACATGAAAAATGATGTAGGTAGTCTAGAGACTTGACTACATGAGATTTAACTGCCTGGCTTAAGTACCATGTGAAAATAACAATAAAATACACAAATATTAGAGCACAGTCACATGTTATCATGGCCACAAATTAAGAACTGTACCTGTTAGGTAGCTGGCATTCCCAGATATGTGCATTAAACGCACTGAGCTCTAATTCAAGATGGCATCAGTGTCACTAAATAAGAATTTTCAGTTCTGTTGTGACTTTTTGTGATCATGTGTTTCATTCATGATGACTGAAACATCCTTGTAGGGCACATGACTGCATTTCCTGAACAACACAGTGTAGCTATTTATATAGCATTTACATCATTTGGGCACGTCAGATAATCTAAAAATGATGTAAAGTATATGGGAAGGTGTGCATCAGTTTATATGCATCTTACAGAAGAGTTGTGGGTATCTATATCTGTGACATGCCTATTTTTTCTGATATTTGGCTTTTGAAACTGTTCCTTTTGTGACTGATTTTTGCTAGTTGGACTATAATTAATCTTTATGTGGAGGACACATATGCAAAAAGATTCATGTCCTGCTTAGGACACAGATTTAGATCTTAAGCATAGTTTGTTTTTTTATCAAATTGGGAAGATTTTAAGTCTTTTTATTTTCTTCAAAAACCTGTTTTCCCCATTTCATAGCTTTTCAATCTAATTACATGGATTTTAAGAGTCTGTTTATTTGTTTCATTCAAGATAAATTATATGCTATATGCATTTCTTTCTTTTTTATTTTTTAATTTAATTTTTTTGTTTTGTTTTTTAAGACAGGGTTTCTATGTGTTGCCCTGGCTGTCCTGGAACTCACTCTGGAGACCATGATTGCCTCTATCTCAGAAGCCCACCTGCCTCTGCCTCCTGAGTGCTTGGATTAAAGGCGTGTGCCACCACTGCCCTAGTGAATTAGTTTCTTATTGCTGTGTAAAAAGTTACTTCAAATTTTAAAGCAGCATACATATATTACTTTACAGCTTGAGATTAGAAGGTCTTCCACTTAGAGTCTTATGCAGTGACTGTTGGAGCTACAATCTCAGCTGAGGCATAGCATCCTCTTCTAGTTCCTTACAGTTATAGGACTCCAGTCATCTTGGCACTTGTTTCTATCTCCTGGAAGCCACATTCAGCTTATAGCTACATGGCCCATGAGCTTACATACTCAAAGACAAGAGAATATCTCTCCAGTCTGCTATGATAGTCTTACATATTGTAAAATACTCATGGGAACAACTATCCTACTGCCTTTACATACAACAGAATCAAGGGGAATATATGATATTGTATAATGATAAGCCTCATGACTCAAATGAGAGGAATGTACATTAAAAGTTAGGAAACTTGGGAGCTATCTCCTACACTGAAAGCTCTCACTTCTTGTCTTTTGTAATATCTTACTAGGTAATTGTAACCACTGAAATTTTCAAATGTATGTTTTATATCTACAAGATGTATTTTGGTGAATGTAGGGGCATAGGCATGCCATGGCCCATATTCACAGCTCACCAGAGTCATGTTTCTCCTTCCCCTATGTGGGTCCCTGGTATCAAACACTGGCCATCAGGCTTGACAGCAGATGACTTTACCTTCTGAGCCATCTTGATGGCATGTGTGTATATATAGCTTCCACTTTTCTCCCTGCTTTCATGTAGTTTCATTTAAATATCTGAACGCAGACAGCTGCAGTGGTAAACACCTGTGATCCCAGCCCTTGGGAGGTGGAAGCAGCAGAATCTAGACTTCAAGGTCATCCTCAGCTACATAGTGAATTTACAGTTAGCCTGGGTGTGTGAGAAGCTGTCTCAAAACAACAACAACAATCTGTGCATGATTGTAATGGTTTCATTCGCTTCTTTTGCTGACTCTGTCACCTGTTAGTTCTGTGTCCTTTTCTATTATCTGATGCTTCTGAATGCAGACCATGTCTATAATATCTATTGTTATTTACCATACTGTTAATTTAAAAATATTTACAAATTCAGTTCAAAGTAATTTTTAAAGGTTTTCATGTGATGTATCAGGTTTTGAAAAAGAATGTAGTAAGAAATATAGCAGTCTTCTACATTTTTTAAAATCTCAGCATCTAGATCTAAAAAATGACAAAAATTCTCATATCTGCTTCTGAATTTTCTGTCTCTTACTGTCTGACCTGTGGTGCTTCTGAATTTTCTGTCTCTTACTGTCTGACCTGTGGTATGGCCTCTGGAAATGCCACTGGACATGAGACAGATGTTTAAAAAAAAAAAAGCAAATAGCATTAGTGGTATTATGAAAGTTGTTTTGACTTAAGAGATCCCCAGTTATAAAAGTCTCCAGGGTTTCTAAAGACTCCTAGATGATAACTTGAGAACTATTGACCAAAATTCTTCACACTTATTGGCATTCTTTATTCTAGATTATTGCAGCAGGTGTCATCTTCCTACTCGTTTTATATCATGTCCTCACTTATAGACTATTGATGAGTTTCACTTTAAGGATTTAATGTCATTAGCATTTTTTGAAATGCATGAATGTAAATATCTCAGAAGCTGGAAAACAAAATCCATGTGTGATGCTGTTCTTTCCAGATTGAAGATGCCCAGGATCCAGGCAGAAATCCCATCGTAGCCCTGGGATTCCTGCCTTTAAAACTCATCTCCTGGATGTTGGAGCCATCACTCACCACAGTGTAAACTCCTGGATAATTTGGACATGTTCTTATGTTTTGTTGTTGTTGTTGTTTTGTTTTGTTTTTGTTTTTTGAGACAAGGTTTCTCTGTATTGTTTTAGAGCCTGTCCTGGAACTCCCTCTGTAGACCAGGCTGGCCTCAAACTCACAGAGACCCACCTGCCTCTGCCTCCCAAGTGCTAGGATTAAAGGCATGGGCCACCAACACCTGGGCATGTTCTCATGTTTTTACAGATCATCTAGTCTCACTTTTTCTCTTTGATAGACTTAGTCTCAATTTCTTTGCTCCATTATTGTAAGTCTCTACTGCCTATGTTTCCCTATCTCAGTAAAACAGTATTTATCTGGCACTTGTTTTGTGGCACACACTTTGAAGCACTGTGCAGGTAATGGAAGTCAAAGCTCTGTCCTTAAAAAATCTTCACTTATAGCCAGGATGGTAGTTCACACCTGTAATCCTGTGCTTGAGAGATGGGCTAGGAGGGTTGCCATAGACAGGGTCAAGATCAGCCTAGGTTACATAATGAGTTCCAAGCCTGTCTGGACTACAAAGTAAGACTGTCTCAAACAAGCAAACAAACAAACAAACAAACAAACAAAACCCAGACAAATGAGTTGTGATTCCAATTGAGAATGTGTGTAGTTTTTACTTAAATTAATTTATAACTAAAGGTTATGAGACATGAGCTCTGAGCCAAAGCTGGTCTTCTCCTGTGACCTTCCATGGTATGCTAGACACTTAACAGTAGATCCTTAAGCCCCGCCTCCATGCTGAGCTGTAGGATCATAATACAATTCTAGAGGGAGAGGAGAGCTTAGACGAAAGAACCCCAGAAGTTGAGGAGATGACACTGAGAGATGACTTGGCTGTCATATGTTACAGGCAGGGATTGGAGAGAGGTGACATCGGAGGAACCTGTATTTGTGTCTTTTCTATCCTGCAGGTATTGAGAACATAAACCTCCCACAAGGAGAATCTGAGACTCAAGGAGCTTCACACTTACTTAAAAAGCCTCCTGTCTGAATAGAAGAAGTCCATGGACTCCAGCAGTCCACTAGGAAAGCTCAACCAGGAGTGGGAAGAAACCCCTAAGTACTTCCCATTTTGCTAAAGCCCCCAAGAAGAATCCAGTGCCATTCAAGAACACAGTTAAGCCACTGATGCTCACTGGGGGCTTTCAACACACCCAAACACCTGCCAGGGGGCCTTCCTCACAAACCACCATGAAAGACAATGAATTGGCAGGACTCTTCACAGAGGACAGCCATGCCAAAACCCACCAAAAGACTCCTATGTTGGATTCTTCTAAAGAAAGCTATGAAACACTAGATTCCAGCATTTCCACTATCTCCTATAAGATGCCTTTAGAGAAGAAACAACCTCGTCCCCTTCTTTTCTATATGTCTAAGTATTGATGGTAGGGTGTGGTCAGGCTCACATGGGCACCATTGAGGCTTTCAGGGGAGCACTCTGGCCCAACCTCTATAAGGGATGCACCCCAGGAGTCAGGCTGGGGCAAACAGTGATACATGGGCATGGACCTGGAGCTGGCTGCTCTCTGGGTTTGCAGCATTGTCTCATCTTATATTTCTGTTATACTTTCTGCTAAAGGAGTGACTGGTCATGTCAGCTTGTAATAAAGGCACCTCTCAGGAAGCCAGTGTGTTGTTGACCCCCTTCTGTGGTCACCCAGGCTAATGAAGACCGTGGGACGGGTGCAGTAGTGACATTTTCCTCAGTCATGGCAGGAAGGGTGACATGGACATGAGCTGGCGGCAAAGCTCTCATCCCACCCTTATTTTCTGATGTTCATGCAGTGCGCTGCTTCTTAATGCCTGAGGGTACAACTCATGGTCCCATGTTCACCCAATAAACAGCCTCAGCCTTATCAGGAAAGCAGAGCTCAGAACAATTATCTGAAGTCTTCTGTCTGGGAGCCCAGTGTTAGCAACTGTGAGTTGAGTTCTATGGTGTGACCTTCACCCAGTGTTAGCAATAGTGATCGAGTTCTATGATGTGACCTTCACTCATTCGTACTTCCCTTGGACCTCACCCTTCCCCTCAGCATGATGATATAGAGTAAACTATAAGCTCAGCTTCTCCGGGCCAGATTTATCCTGGTTGACTGTGAAATCATGTGAATGTTATAGGAAGGGCCATCTCCCTCCTTCTCCACAGCCACAGCATCACTCCATAAAAGGAGACTGCTTGGTTTGGGGTGCCCTCTCCTCACATGCAGTGCAGTGATCAGGAGCAGCACCCCCTGGGGGTGAGGGTGATTGAACACACAGATGTGGCTGGCCTGGATGCTTAATGTGATATCTCAGGGAGATCCTAACATTACCAGCTCTAAAGGGACTGTCACTGTCACATCTGTAGCTACTCATTCCAGCCACCATCCTGTCTAAAGTCCCTGGCCCAGATCTACCCAGTCCCTCCCAGACTTCACTGTCTCATTCTGGTCACAAAGCAGTATCACTGGACATAAGCATTTCACCCAAGGGAGTAGTATTGTTTTTGATAGGCCAAGGAGAAGTTTCTGGCACAAGGTGAGGACCATTCTGCCTCTACTGGCCCTGGTTAAGAGCCAGTAAGTGATCTGTCCCCTAGACTCTACCCCCTACACACACACACACACACACACACACACACACACACACACACACACACACTTTTATACACATACTTGGGTCTTCCCTTCTCTGATTAGTGTCCATCATTTTCCCTAAACCCACCTGGTCTCAACTGTTTTTTGAATACTCAAGGGCAAATGTAGGGCAGCTTGGTCAGGCAGGTAGAAGAAGCTCTACTGGCCACTCCCCTACAGGGCTGTATCCTGACTCCACATTCTCTCCTGCAGCAAAGACGAACACAAGGCCAGAGTCTAAGACACATGCTTTATGCCCTCAGATGGTCATGGAGATCTTCGCAGGGACCTAGCATGGGACTGTCTCACATAGAAATGACCCAGGTAGAACCTGGGTATTGTCCAGACTCAGGAGGTAGTCTAGGAGGGCTTCCTGGAGCAGATAACACTGAAGGATTGAGTCCTGCAGGCAGGCCTCCGATGTGGTGCTCGTGGCAAGAGCCATGAGGACCCTGAGCCCAGTGCCCTGAGTTTCAGAGCATCATTCGATGCAAATATGGTTAGGTTGTTCCCAGATGGAGAGAGCTGAGTTGTCTTTGATTCTTCTTTCCCATCCACACATCACTTGATGGTGCAGGTCTCAGTCAGGAGAGGTTTCCGGGAACACAGTCTCTTATACCAGGAGGCCATAGCAAAGCAGGTGAAGCTAACGCAGGCACCAGAGGTGGGTGCAGGGAAGTTTTGACTCCATGGCAGACAGGTCAGAGCCTAGCAGATACAGCCAGCCGAGCCTCCCTGCCTAGATGGCCAGGGCCTGAGCCAGCACCTCCTCTACTTTTCACCTGCCGCTCCTGGAGTTCCTCTGTTTGCTCATGGCTGTGAGCATCTGGCTGATGTAGGAAGTCAAGAGATCATCCATTTTGTAGCCCTGGAACCAGGGGTAAGAAAGTAAGCAGGGCCCACAGAGAGATGTGTCAGCCCCTCACACACAAGACTCTCAGGACACTCGGCAGTGGGCACAGTGCAGAAACAAAGCGAGCTCTGTCCTCAACTATAGTGCCCTCGAGTGGCCCTGAGTTTATCTTGCCATCTTGAGCCCCAAGCTTGTGGTCCCTGTAATTCTGGGCCTCCAGGGGTGACTGAACACTACCAGTTAAGCAGCATTTTGGACCTTCAGGCTGAGCTCATCTAGGAGGTGTCATCACTAATGGCTCCTGTATTACACTTGGGCTGAAGGCCCACACCTTCCGGCTCAGTCTCCAGATCCCAAACAGCAGCTGAAAAGGGATCCGTATCCCCACTCCAGACTGAGCATTTTCCCCACACTAGACTTCAAATAGACCCAACCAGGAAAGGCAGGGACCCATGCCAGGCACAAGGAAGTGCCCTCACCAGCGACGTCTCACAGAGCAGCTTGCTTCCACGGACCAGGTTCCCAATGGTGATGTGGAAGTAGGTGTTGCCGCTACTCCAGTTGGAGATCTTGGTGAAGGGGTGAGTAGTCAGAATGTCCTAGGAGAGCAGAGAGGTACCCAGCTTCATAGCATGACCCTCCTGCTTCAATAACCCCAGCTCCAGCCTGCACACATATACCCCTTACAGAGGTCCTGGGCCCTCACACCAGGAAAGGAACAAGACGGAGAAGCCAACTCTGTGTAGAGCTGCTGGGGAGTTTCCCCTCCATGCCTTGCCTCGGACACACAAGGAATCCCTGGAGGCTGGTGGGTGCTTAGGGTCACATATGGAAACTTAAGCAGCCTGAGAGCACTGACAACTATTGGTCTGAATGAGACAGCCTGGGTGAGCTAAGGAGAAGGTAAGACAGAGAAGAAAACAGAAAGGAGCCTTTGGAAGGACACTTGGAATGTGTAGAGCAGAAGCCCAAAACTGTCTGCAAAGGCGCAAGAGGAAGATGACGGTCATTAGTGATTTTCCCCAACTACTCAGGAGCACAGCTTCTGGGGGTGGGTACAGTGGCACTGGCCTTCCTGGTGCATAAGCATAGCCACTCCTGCATATGATGCCACCAGTTACCATCCTAACCAGATGGGCAGAGAACATTTTGGAAAGAGGTGGCCTTCTGTAGCATCCAGTGACATCGAGAAGCTGAGTATCAAAAGGGCTTTGGAACTTAGCAGCAAGAATCTGATGGTAAGTTGAAGGTTACAGTCTTGGTGGAGCAAATGAGTTAATGGAGGAAGCACAGGAAGCCTTTCAAGATGGGTACCCAGGGGCTCTGCAGTGGGCGTGGATAAAAGGGCTTATGTCTGAGACCTGGGTTGGTCACGCCCCAAACTGCTCACCCCTGCCCTGCTTACCTTCGTTCTGGGATCAATGAGGCTGACCCCATACTTGTTAATGGCAATTAAGAGAATCTCAGGGAAGTTTGGTTCTGTCGTTTGCTAGCAAAGAAAACAGACACCATTAGAGGGGGGTTCAGAGCAAGATGGGCATTTGGAGACAGGCATGAAGCCAGCCTAGCCAGGACAAAGTCAACCTGGCCTGCTATCTACGTGGAGCCAGAGGTACAAAGGCCCCACCAGCCCTGCCGTGGCCTCCTGGGTCTCCAGCAGAGATTCTATCCTTTCCCTCTTGTCTCCCTGGGAGGTTTGCTATGTCTCTTCTCTCAATGCAAAAGTATCCCTGTGGCCAGAGCAACCATGTGGTGCCCTTGTCCCAGCCCTAAACCTCCAGGGCTCACTGTTGCCTGAGGAGACCCTGACCCTCACCTGCCTGACAGCCACCTCTCACCACCCTCAGTCACACTTAACCTTCTCATTCCCTGCCCAGATTTGGGTTCTCAGGCCTGTGGGCTCTGTCTACACAGGGCTCTTGACAGAGGATTTCCTGGAAGACTCAACATCACTTGCTCTAGGAGGCCACCCTAGACTACTCCCTCACCTGGGCACAGCCTCCTGATCTGCTACCTCCAGAGGGCCCACTATTACAGCACAAGCCACCCTCCACCACTCTGGCCTATGCGTATGACTCTCTCCCTTGGCAAGCCAAGCTTCTGGTGCTTCCTGGTCTTCCTGTGGCAGAAGATGTTCAAAGTTATCCCTGCCACCTATATACCAGTCTCTGTGCCATCTCACCCTACCCCTTTGCCCCTTCCTGACCTCTGAGGATCTCCCAAAGACATACCTTCACCTCAAAGAAGGCTGAGCCAAAGGTGGGCCATTTAAAGATGACCTTCAGGAAGGCCAGCTTGGCCTCCTCCTTGGATTTCCCTGCATGCTTGTTGAAGTAGGCCACGATGGACTGTGGGAGAAGTGAGTCAGGAGGCACCCTCACAGCTCTACTGCCCGTCTACACTGTCAGACCCAAGCACGGGATAGACAGTGTTGCCATCTACCACGGTCCCACTTACCACAGCCAACTGGCTTCTGACCCACCCCAACCCATGCAGACAAGCCAGAGGGTATCAGATAAAGTC